ACACCAAAAAAGTGCATAAATAGCGTCAATAATTCTGGCGTTGCGGTAAAATGTGGAGCTGTGAGTAATGATATTAACAGCGATACAATCAAGTTGCGTTTGAGGGCTGAGCTGCCACATCTTACAAGAAAACAAGCCGCTCAGTAATCGATTTTTAAATTGACTTTTGATTCCTATTCAGATTCCAGTTGCCCTTTTACGAAACGCTATGTCATGAGCTGCTGGAAAATGGATATCACTACGCTTTCACAGAGATTTTCGAAATTCACGAGAAGCAGATGGAAGACCGCCAACACGCAGGTCCAGACTCAATACTTTGGACTATTACACCTATCAGCGAACAGCCAGAAAAGCTTTACAAGCTCCGAGATAAACTTTCGAGAGCAGAAGCTGCAGCTCGCAGACAAGATCACCATACAGTATTCTCTTGCTATCTCAAACTCGCTAAATATTTCAATGACTTTCCTGATGAACTCTGGCTAGCCGAACACTTCTTTGGCTACTGTTTGGTTGTTGCTCAACGTATAACCGATGACGATGGCCTTAAATTGGCAATAGCGTACGAATACAACGGACTTTCCAAGGAAAGTCTAGGTAAACGATTTATTTAAATTTCCCTGAAATGTTTATTGCTAATTTAAGCTTAATACAATCAATTTGCATAAAGAAATCATACATATTTAAGCAGTTTTATGATTGGCAAAAACAGGTAAAACAGTAGAAATAAAAGAAGTTTCACTTTAAATATTTACTAGAGTTCCTTGAAAAGTAGTTCAGTTCCCCGCCCCCTCCCATTTTTTTCTGTTGTTTCAAATTTCTTATAGATATGACAATGACAAGTATAATGTTCCAAACACAACCTTACGCTTATACGTACCTAGGAGAAGTACTTTGCTAATTATATCACGTTAAAACAACTCTTAGATTGGTCCTAAGAGACATCCTTGTTAAATGCTTTAATCGCGATCGGGTCATCGAAATTCCTCAGTGTTGGATTAAATAGTTTTATAAGTTCTGGCCATGGCACCCACTCTATGTTCACAATTGCAGCTTTGTTATTGGAGTTTACTCATGAATTTTAAGTGCTATAGAGTAGGCAAAACCTCCAAGCCCATTTGGGATAGCATTTGAGGAGTAGGATTAATAGCCACCTTGGTGCGAGGCTCCAATTCTGACACCTTCTTTACGATCTAGGTGTGACCTATGTGGGTGAGCATCGTACGCGTGACCTCTGACTTTGCAGTTGAACATGCCAACAAATTTAACACCGGCGTACATAACCATTTCCTAAACCAATCACTAATAATACAAATAATTATTTCTATATTATTTCCGTAAATGTGCGTTATTATTGCATGTAGCATGTGTTGGCAATATAAACACCTCGAGTATGGACCGTGAAGTTTATACGGTGTTTTATTTAATTCCAAAGCGTTCTTTCTCCTATCATAAACAACAATCGCTGATCATTCTTTTACACATGACAAAGTGTTTAAACTCTCCCTACAAAAAAGGGAGAGTTCTTGTCTTTGCACAAAAGGGTGTGGTTGATAAAATTGTACAAGATTTGATAATTAATCAAACCACAAAGTTTCACAATATAGTTTTGCAGAATTTGCAAAATTCAGCACGACATTGTTTGCACCAAAACATGAGCAAGTATTCTGAGAGAACTCTTGTCATCGGAAATAGATGGTAACATTAAGCTCTATCGGGAGATTTATCAGACTGTGCCAATAGCACCATTTGAAGCCTAAAAAATGAAACCAATTGTATATTTATTTGCCAAAAATTATCGAAGAGCCCCAATAGTTCGCTTTTGCTTAACTAATAAATTAATTTCTAGTTGGTAATTCTTTGAATTGCATTTCATTCAAGTACTTAATCTGACTGCCATATAATACTTTCCTATAAAGAAATAAGTGCTTTAAATATATTCTCTTGAATTCATTAAAAATCAGCCTTTTTTGAAATTCCTTCCATTTATTTCAAATTATTTCCAAAGATCATCGGCTATGGAGTATTGAATACTTAAAAATTCAAGGTTTCCTTGAACTAATTTAGCAAAACTCTAAACATATCTTCCATATCTTCGATATTTTTTTTCATGATTCAATCTACTTCCACAAGTTTCTTAATTTAAAGAAATTATATTGATGTAAATTCCTTTCTAAAGCTCTACGTTCACTCGTTATTATGATGAAATTGATTGAACGGATTCGCAACGTACTTTAATAGTTAGAATTATATATACATATATAAATTTTACTTACACATGCAAGTTGGCTGATCATTGCTTTCATATTTTGCTTGGGGGTGTGGAATAGACTTGCCTCCACGTGGTGCACCCTGGGCAACATATACTCATACGGCGTCTATTATTTGGCAGTTGACTTCTGACTTCAAATAAAAGTCTATCAATCGGCAGTTGACTTCTCACTTCAAACTAAAGTCTATTACCTGGCAGTTGACTTCAAACTACCATGAGTAAGTCTATTAACTGGCAGTTGACTTCTGAGTTCAAACTATCATGACCCCAAGTCTATTAATCGGCAGTTGACTTCTGACTTCAATTACCATGATCTATTAACTGGCAGTTGACTTCTCTATGTCATATTCGGGTTTTGGCAGTTGACTTCTGACTTCAAGCTACCATGAACCCACTGTATGTCATACTCGATCACCTTATTATTTTCTGCCTTTGTGCCTGTCTCTCTGTCTCTTTTACATCTGTAAACCACTCTTCTGTCCCTCCTCTCGAATTTTTGCATTTTGTTGTTCCTCCTCCTTTCTGTGAAGCCCGAAGTCAACTAAAGGGCTAATGATGACTATCAAAACGCCAGCCATTTAAAATAAATAAATAAATATTTTCCCTGATTAGTTTTAAGCAAGTAATTTGCCTATGGGCAATGTTTCAAGAAGCTTAATGTCTATATTAACAACATACGACAAATACTTTTCACTTGGCGGTATTTGACATTGCATCTGCTTGCTCAACGGCATATTCCCCTGTAGCGGATTGCTATGCTAGTAAAGCCTGACCGACTCAGAAATCTCTATGGCAGACCCTAAGTAAAGCCTGACTGACTTAGAAATCTCTATGGCAGATTCTCTACATCTAGCTAGACCGACTCAGAAATCTCCATGGCAGATTCTCAAACATCTAGCTACCGGCTCAGAAATTTCTATGGCAGATTCTCCAACATCTAGCTAGGAATCAGAAATCTCTATGGCAGATTCTCCAACCTCTAGCTAGAGAACAGCTAAGCTATAGCTCAGCTATAAAGAAAACAGACGTGTAGCACGGAGCGCGTTTATATCTGTGGCAGATTCTCCTACATCTAGCTAGACTCCCAGAACGGCAGATTCTCCAACGTCTAGCTAGACTCCCAGAACCAGGGAGATTCTCCTACATCTAGCTAGACTCCCAGAACCAGCTAAACCATAGCCCAGCTATAAAGGAAACAGACGAGTAGCACGGAGAATTCTCCAACATCTAGCTAGACTCCCAGAACAAGCTAAGCTATAGTCCAGCTATAAAGGAAACAGACGTGTAGCACCACGTTTATTCAGGACGTATATTGCGGATCAAGTGTACCCGCTTATTCAGGACGTATATTGCGGATCAAGTGTGTACACACAGAGTATATTGTGGATAAAGTGCACACGCAGGGGTACGGGTGTTGCGGATAAAGTGTGTACACGCATAGAGCTACTCTTGATCAGGATGGGGGATTAGGTTAAACAAACCGAGGTTGATGATTGGTCGCTGTTTGTACGGTCGCTTTACACAGAGTTGTACGGCCGCACCTCCCAATCCTGGCGTGAGGGACATGCGATGACGCACAAAGCGATAACGCGTCCCACACCCCTTTAAAAACATTAAAATTAAAAAATTAGTTATGATAAAATGGAGAAAAAGGATAAATTTGATGCAAAAAATAGTAATCATTTTACTTGCCAGTTATCATGTAAATATGACTGGCACTAATAATATTCTTTTTTCGTTGTCCTTAAGGTGATTTCAAAAAAGCTAGTGCCTTCTTCATTCAATTCTATAATGCAACCAGGAACAAGAAATGGAAAGAAGATGATGGAACAATACTGTCGGAAAAAGCTGACAGACACCTCGTTCGAATTTACCATGCGCTCATGGAAGGAACCCCGAAAGAATATATCAACGATCGCTTGTCCTACTGCACCAAAGCTTATGAAGTAGCAAAGGCTAGTGAGTTCCCTTTTATTAAGTCTCTTAATTTCGCTTTTTTTGGTACATAAGAAGGTTCAAGTGCTATTTCTTCCTCTTACCCACGGTTAAATGATCAATGTGACAACTTGCCAATTTTCTTGCGTCAGTTTAATTTCTTCTCCATTTAGGAAAGGTACTATAAACGCACTCCGTTGAATTAAATACCCTTGAAACCAAACTTCAATGTTCTTTAGTTCAAATAAGGCTCTCTCGTAAATTGAAAAATATGCGTTACTGAAACATTTTTCCTACAAAGCAAAAGTACATTTTCCTGCCAACAAAAAATCTTGTCATTTTAGGCTTTGCACTATTCTCTCTTTTCATGATGTACTTTCGTTTCCCAATAAATTGTTAACACAATGAATTGAGGAGAGCTTAGATACATCGATGAAATATCTGCCTTATGAGCATCTCAGCGATTTGAAAGAAATTGAGGGTGCCATATCCGAAAAAATGTGTTGTTTGAGTAGTTGGCATTATATGCTTCCTCAAGTTATTTTCATTTTATTCACAACTATATATTTACCTATTTTTTCGATGTTTGATAAAAGATTAAATTCACTATTAATGTTGGACATTTAAATTTATTTCAATAAAATTTAAGTACCTTTCGCTCGAAATTATAATTTAAAGGGAAATAAAATTCTCAGGAAAAATGAATTTTGGAAAATCTTAAGGGTTGCTGTACTTTCCCATATCTCCATTTAAATATACTTTATATTATATATATTATATATAATATGTAATATTTTAATCAAACAGGTGGTGATCCGAAATTGGCAGCACTGGCAAGTCTAAAATTGGGCCAAATGTATCTTGAATCGGGCAAAGTTTCTGATGCAATTTCGGTAATTTCCTTTTTGAAATCCCTAATTATTACTGCGCTATTCATCAACATCAGTATTTCTGTGTTTAATATAGTTCTATAAAGGGTACTTTGAGTTTGCAAAAGAATCTAATGACTGGGTTAGCTTCGGTCATGCCTGCGAGTCGTTGGCACAATTGTATGAGAGGTGAGTATAGTTTTGCACTTTTCCCTTCGTGATTATTTACGT